GGGGGGGGGGGGCACTCCGGAACCACTCTTTTCCAAGTCATTCTCCCAACACGGGGAGATAGGTGTCAAGTTCCTCGTGAATACAGAATGAGTTCGTCTGGAGTCGATTAGATTAGCGAGGGAGCGAGGACTGTAAGTTGTCTTGTTGTCTTGAGAGTGTTAGAGGTGTGTGCGTTATCTCTGACAGAACCTCGTCCGCATCCGACACCATGCACATCCAGCTAAAAGACAGTATCTTATTGTTGTTAAATTGAAAATGATTTCTTTTTGTAAGCTCGCGTATCTTTTCTGATGAATGGCCTACTAGAATTCACAGTAACCCCTCTTAAGCCGATTGATTCGTTTTAGTTTTCAATTTTTAGTACCCGCGGCGACATACATTGTATTGACCATTCAAGTCCACCCAACTTTTCCCACTTATTTTAACTTGTCGACTAGATACTCAAAGCAAAAGGGGTAAAGTACTTTGACTGAGGATACAACGTTATACTAATGGGTGAAGGTCGCTGGGGACCATCAACTTGTCAGTGCGAACTAATGCTTCGACCTCCCCCTGTCTTAATGGAAATCGTCGCCGTCCGATGTTCTTTTACCCTCATGACGTTAGCTGCATTTAAATCAGCTCGACACTTAAAAGAAAGTTGTTATATACAAGAATTGTACCTAAATTAGATCTGGAAGATTTAAACTGTTTTTACTGTATTTGGATAATAAAGACTGCTTTGGACTTATCTAGCCCAATTGTGGAAATTGCCATATGCACATTTATTGAGATATATATTTCATTGGTTTAAAATGCATTTAGAAACCTACAGTTATAGGTTTTCTTACACACAACCTTCATCTACTATATTTACAATCTTCCCCACTTACCTATACCCTACTATCCCACCACTTCCTCCCCATGTCAACGCTTTTTGACGCATTTACTGTTTAGGTTTTAAAAAATCAAACAAAACAGTACGAACGACTCCTATCACAGGAGGCATAATACAAGCCTTGGACATTTCGGCCGACCTGTAAAAGATGGCTAGCGAATTCCAAAATTGTACTTCCAGTAACCCAAAGAAGCGAATCTAGCTCGCTGTTACAAGGGCTGTTAAGGAACGTGTAGATTCTATTACATTTTCAGGAGTAATATAACGAACTTGGCGCGAAAAACGGGTAAAACTCGACTTATAGCTTTACACTAAAGGAACGTATGTCCTACTCAGTGAAGATGCTCTTCAGTTTTCTTCATCTTTATTCGAAGCTTCGTGATTTTGACGTCTTTATTAGGCGTATCTCTGGCTCCTATATCAAGTAAGAGTACATAAATGACAGCTGGTCATACTGACACATTTTTGTATGGAGACCAGTAGCTGAAAGAATATTAACATTTATTACACAAGTTCTAAAACTAACGAAAGGAATATCTGAAAAAAGATAAGTAGATATCAAAGTACAGGGGCGAGAATCTCCCTTCTCAACACGTCAGTGTTGATCAATACAGATCTAGCGCTTCCTGGTTTCAAAAAGAATACTGTTATCATAATGAACATGAAATATAAAACCTTTGTAATAATATGATAAAGCCTACGCATCTTGTACAGATGAAATATTTGCTCCCGAATAAGAAACGAAAGAACTGAGATGAAATTCAAGAGGTGTATTGATATTCTGTGCTGTAAAAATTCTTCTGTATATTAACCGTCTAGCAGAAAGATTCCCTATACAAAAAGTTATGCTTTCTTTTTTGAAAGATCTTTTCCACAGTCCTGCTATTTTCTAGGATTCCGTGATCATAAGTAAAGGAAACATATTGTGCCTTATTTATGGAGATGATGGCAAACTCCCCCCCCCCAGCCCACCCCACCGCTGATTTTGACGTTCTTGGCCTACTGCGCAATTTTCGGGAAGGAGAGAGAAAAAGAGAGTGAGAGAGAGAGAGAGAGAGAGAGAGAGAGAGAGAGAGAGAGAGAGAGAGAGAAAGACAGAGAGTAAGACAGAGAAAGAAAGGAAAGAGTAAGGCAGCCTGACAGACAGGCAATTAGACAGACAGACACACAGACAGACAAGGAGACAGACAGACAGACAGACAGACAGACAAACAGACTGACGGACAGAATGACAGACAGACCGAAACTCAGAGCAACCAAGAGCAACAGAGACAGAGAAAGCACACGTACTTCCAAAGTCAAATGCCGTTATCCCTTGAGTAACCACCTGCCTTTCCCACAGACAAACCCAGTACATCCACGAGGCCCGTAAAGCAGTGTCGTGCGTGAGTTTCTCCCCGGACAGCAAACTCCTGCTCATGGGGGAGTCCGGAAGCTGCTCGCCGGCCCTTCACGTCTGGAGCCTCGCTCAGCGCAAGAGCGTGGCCAGCTTCAAGGACCACTGCCACGGCATCGTGTGTGCCAGGTTCTCCGCTGGCATGGACGTACTGGCCTCCGTGGGGACAACACACGACGGCTTCGTCTGCGTGAGGGCCTGGCCCAGCCAGAACATGCTGGCCACCAACCGGTTCTCTGGTAGGTAAGCGGTTTTGAAAAGGACAGAGGCATGGAAGGGATTTTTTTTTGGCTAAATGAGTTTAGTTGTCTGCTATATACACACGGATAGGTTGTGTATAAAGAAGGCCTCGTATATAGCAGAAAGTGCAATGGCAGCTCGCGACCGTGAATGATGGAGGGTCATTACACTGAGTCAGAGATGACACCTCCGGAATACAGGAAAGAGGACTTTACAACCAGTATGGGGATGGTGGAAAAAGGGGGAGGGAGTGGGGAGGTATTTCTCGATTGACAAAACAGTACGAAGTAAAGCTGGACAGAAGACGAAGTGAAGAGAAGAGATATCACCAGTATGTCAAAGTAGTCGTCTTGTGGGGCCGAGTAGACGAGTGGTTCACCAGCCAGGGAAGAGAGCATCAGTTGATAGAACAGTAAACTGTTTATATTATCAGGTTTACACGAGCCCAGGCAGGGAGTTTTGGTGAGAAAGAATGGAGATGGTGTATAGGATTTTTTGTTTGTTTTGTACCAGCTCCACATTCTGCAGCCAAATGCAAAATCTTATAAACGCCCGTTTTAGTCCATTAAGTCTAAAATATACTTATACTTTACACGGATTTTAATTACCTGTCAGTTTGCAGTGATTTGTGCTTTAGGCCCCACTGAGTGTTTGTTTTCTATGGCTATTTGACGTTACGCAAACTAATCCTTCCATGTTGATTAATTGACCACTCTTTCTCATTAGTACAGCATACTTACTGTTTAAAGTACCTAAATCTCAAACAGGAATAAGTTTGCGCGTTCAGTTGCGTATATACCTTAGTTTTGCGCTTTTCAATTTTATACATATTATTAAAAACTTCCTTTTCGAGCTCAGGCCACACATCTCATATTCCAAAGGCTCTTTGCGTGAAGGAGCATGAGCTGTTTTTCCATTTCCAAAATAAGGCCGCTGTGATGCTCAAGGTTACGAAATTGATCTGGTGCAAAAAATCTCGAGTCTTTAATCCGAATGAGGTCCGAACGATTTTTCTTTTCGTTCCTGGACTGCTTTCTATTCACTGAGTCTTCTACATGGCCAACATCTTGTAACAAACGACGTTCAATTATGATAATAAAAACAAAAAAATAACCAAAACCACATACTGCAAAGCTTCGACGGCTGGTTTAAGGTTAATTCCTTTTTCTATACCGTACTTTAACTCCTATGTTTGTTTGTGTCTGTCTTGCTTTTTTTCTTTGGACTAAATGACTTTTATCGTATCGATGTGCTTCTCTTTACTCTGTACTCGAAACACACAACAGCAGCAGCACCAAGTAGTTACTATGATTCTGTCTCTCAACAGAGGGTATCTGCACCATATCCTTTTCCCCTTCAAGCCCGTCCTTCGTGACATGCGGCGTGCATCACGTCAAATTCTGGCACCCTCACCTGCCTAGCAACGCGCCAAAGTCGTCGTACGTGAGTCTCCACCCTCGTCCCTGCTCGCTGCACGGCCGGCCAGCCACCCTCGGCGGACTCAAGACCAGGGCTTTTGTTGACGTGGCTTGGGGCTCTGGGAGGACCGCCAGCTTCGTGTTCGCCGTCACGTCCTGTGGGGTCATCTGTAAGGTAATTCGGCTCCAAGGCTTTGTGTCGCCCAAGGCAACGTGGAGGAAGTGGTGGAAATTAATAAAATTGTTGTGCAGCCAAGTGAGAGATTGTGAAATCGTGCAAGCCCTCCTGTAAGGAGGGATGCTATATAGATGTTAACAGTTTAATGATTAGGATTTTTGTATCTGACGTAATTGTGCAGAGAAGAAGAAGAAGAAGAAGAAGAAGAAGAAGAAGAAGAAGAAGAAGAAGAAGAAAAAGAAGAAGAAGAAAAAATTTAAAGGAACAGGGTCAATATAAGTGCATTTGTACCTGGAATGAAAGAACCCCGCTCAGAAGAATTTCTGCCTTGAGTAACAAAGCTGTATTTCACCCCACGAGTCAATAGCAGTATTGTAAAAATAATTGATAGGCGAGGAAAAAATGTCAAGTGAAAAAATGAGTGATAATTTAAGCTTATCCACAACAAGACGGGCTGACTTTTGCTAAAAAAACCAAAACAACTGAACTGTGGCTATCTGCAGTGCGGTTTGTTTATTTGTTGATACTCCTGGCATAGCCCGATATGCCTGTACTGTGTATATCATAGCATGTTCGTTATAGCAAAAACACTATGGTAAAACACTAATTTTCAGATAGAAAAAATTGTCTTTTTTTCCCTTTCTTGCTTGAGTTACAAGGTAAGCTTTTAAGAGCAACCAGCGACCCAATACTCAAAGCGGTGTATGAAATACGCGTCTCGGGTTCTTTTTTGGCAAAGTATATGTACCCTGGGAAGTACTAAGATTTTGTATTGGGTCCTCATACTCTTGAACCAAGCGCGTCCTCAGGTGGTAGATAGGGGAAAGGCCTCCAGATATGGAGGTTAGTTGCTAAGCAGTCGCGAACCAAATGGGAGATGGTCGTGGAGAGTAGAGGAGATTCCCGGTGGCGCAGATGCTTCAATAAATGCCTCACACACTCGAAAAAGGGACAATCTAGGAAACGGGAGGCGCCATAAGTCCCACCAAAGCTCCCAATGCCTTGTGGGTTGTCAGTGGATGACAAAAGCTAGCAGAGAAAACTGTACACAAACCGGCAGTAGGCAAAGGGAAACCACTGCTGTGACCTCCCAAGAACAATCATGGAAAAGAACATTCATTTCTTAGATAACAGCGTTGAGGGGGTTCATGATCCAGCTCTAAACTCCCCACTCGGTAGGGACTGTCACGGGCAGCAGGTGGCGCCCGATTGTCATCCAGCTACTGGCTGAAAAAATAGACATCTTAACCACGTGGAATGTGAGAACAATGTACCAGAAAGGCACATTAGGTATTATAGAGCAGGGAATGGATAGGATGAAGCTAAATATGTCAGGCATTTCAGAAGTTAGATGGGAGGGGGCAAGTTTGATTAAAAGAGGATCCAAAACAGCTGTATTCCCAGGAGGAAAAACCCATGAAAAAGGAGTCAGAATTTTATTTGACGAAGCAACAGCCGTAGAGTATCAAAGGTTTTTGGGAGTGTCAGATAGAGTCATCGCGGCTAAATTAGAAGGAACATCTTTTGACGTAAGTGTCATCAAAATATATGCACCAACATCAGAGCACGACAACGAGGAAGTTGAGACTTTTTATGAAGACCTTGATAGAGCTGTGTAACAGTTAAAATCACAAGATGTAAAGGTAGTCATGGGAAACTTTAATGCCAAAGTAGGAAGAACTCGTATAGAAGATATAGTTGGACCATGCGGACTGGGTAAAGAGAATGAACGTGGGGAACGACTGGTAGAATGGTGCAGAGAAAATGACATTGTGATATCAAACACCTGGTATGAAAATCGTCCAAGGAGACAATACACTTGAAAGAGTCCTGGCGATAGAAGTAGAAATAAAAAAGATTTCATACTTATTCAGAAACGTTTAACAAATGTAATTAAATCATCTAAATCACTGCCAGGAGCAGACTGTGATAGTGATCATGTACCAGTCACGTGGAAAATGCAGATGAGACTAAAGAAACTTAAAAACTTAAAGTACCAACCAAAATATGACATAGATCTTTTAAAGATAAACCAAGAACAGAAAGAACGTTTCTCTATAGATGTAAACAATCAATTTGAAGCCCTGGAAAACATTACTAAATCAGAAGAACTGTAGAGGAAAATGAAAGACTCAATAATGGAAGCTGTTGAAGATAATATCTCCTCGAAAGCTAAAAGAGCAAATAAAAAATGGATGACCCAGGACATATTAAAACTTAAGGAAGAGAGAAGACAGGCAAAATCAAATGTGGAAGAGTACAACATCTTAAAACAGGGAAATAAAGAGAAACATTGATAAACGATCAGTGTCAACAAATAGAGAAGAACCAAAACAAAGACAGAAAATACATGCATTCCAAAATCAAAGAAGTAAATGGGACAAAAGTCTGCTCAAATACAGGATGCATAAGATCAAAAGGGGGAGACATTTTAATGGACAATGGGGATGTCTTAAATAGATGGTCAGAATACATAGAACAACTTTTCAAAGATAATAGAGGAGAAAAACAGATAATAAAGAATGAAATAAATGGACCACCAATACTGAAAGCAGAAGAACAATCTGCTATTAGGAAATGAAACACGGAAAAGTCACGGGGCCAGATAATATTCCAGTTGAAGTGATTGTCGAGCTTGAAGAACTAGACACTGAAATAACAACAAAGCTCCTAAATGCTATTTATGACAGCGGTGAGATCCCAAAAGATTTGATGAAGTCAGTTTTTATAGCTTTACCTAAAACACCAGGTGCCACTGAGTGTGATATACATAGAACAATTAGCCTCATGAGTCATTTAACAAACATATTGCTGAGAGTAATATTAGGAAAATTGAGGAAAAGTGTGAGAACAGAGATATCTAAAACGCAATTCGGCTTTGTTCCTGACAAGGGCACCAGAAATGCTATATTCATCTTAACAATGTCAATGGAAAGATGTATTGGAGCACAGAAATATCTGTATTTATGCTTCATAGATGTTTCAAAGGCATTCGATAAAGTTAGACATGATGAGTGAGCTATTTAAAATACTGGAAAAGATAGACATAGATGGAAAAGATCTAAGAATTATCAGAAATTTGTACTGGGACCAAAACGCTGCTATACGAATTAATGGAGAATACAGTCAATATAAGCAGATTAGGAAAGGAGTGAGGCAAGGATGTGTTATGTCACCAGACCTCTTTAACATGTACAGTGAAACAATCCATAGAAACATAGAAGAATGTCCAGGTCTAAAAGTAAATGGAGAAAATATTAATAACATCAGATATGCGGATGACACAGTTTTAACAGCAGGCTCAGAAAAGGACCTTCAATTGCTTCTAGCTACTGTTGTAACAGAAAGTGAACGTAAAGGATTAGTGTAGAATGTAAAGAAAACAGAATGAGTGCAGGGTAATATAAAAAAGCAGCAAATCCTAGTTATAATCACATTAGCAAAGGTGAAAAGATTAAACAAGTCCAACAGTTTCAATATCTAGGATATTTGATAACATCTGATGCCAAATGTTCCACAGAAATAAAACGGAGAATTACAATGGCTAAGGCTAGTTTCAATAAAATAAGCCCAGTCCTGAAAAATAGAAACATCTCAATGACTACCAAAATGAAGGTTCTGAAATGCTCTGTATGGTCAGCCCTTCTATATGGCTGTGAATGCTGGACAATAACTAAAGACAATGAAAATAAAATAGAAGCAACAGAAATGTGGTTTCTTAGGGGACTGCTGAAAGTATCGTGGAAGGAAAAGGAATCAAATGAGGGAAGCCCACTTGGGGAACTCACAGTTAAAAACAATCAGGAAACGACAAATGCATTTTTTGGGACACCTGAATAGACATAAGGGTCTTGAACATCTAGATCACACTGGCAAAATCGAAGGTAAACGAGGCAGGGGTAGGCCTTAAACAACCTACTTATGGAACCTAAACAAATGAGTAACAGGGAAAGATCAGGGAAAAGTAGCTTTTTAAGAGCATCCGAGCAAAGGAATGAATGAAGAACCATGATCGCCGATGTCTGTAGCAGATCTGGCTCTGGATGATGATGATATAATATACGTTATCTATTATCCTGAGTTCATATAAAAATCGTGAGTTATGTGTTTGGGCTAATTTTACCAATTTTTTCCGTTCCTGGCATTCTTCTCAATTCTTGCAAGATATCCGTCGAGCACCGCACAGTGAAGAAAAGTAAACTTCTACGGAACCTTCAATTGTCCAGTGTCCAGGTCCACAACACGGACCTGATAGTTGGCTCAGAGTGTGGATACGTCATCTTCCTGGATGTAGAGACTTTACAGGTAAATAGTTCTGTCTGAAATAGACGTTAAATTCGGAGTTCGTGACACCCTGTTTTTGGTTGTAAGTTTAAATGGTTGCACATGGTTAACGCCCCATTCGCTACAATTTAGATCGTTGGAGAACCCAGCAATGTGAGTGTTTGGCGCGTGCTCTGGTGGGGTTTGCTCCTTTTTTGAATACTTGAATGTAAAATTTGGGTCTTAGGAAGACGGGGTGCTGCAAGCTCCCTCGATCCTCTTCATAAGGGACTATTTCGGTGTGGGCAGGCTAATTGTCTCGATCATCAGCTGGTTGTTGTAGGGTCTGATGGGGTCACGCAGGCTACTCCTCCTGCCTTCACTAGGATGTACTCCTTTCTCAATCACAATCTCCTTCGTGAAGTAGTCCTTTTCACGGCTGCTGGCTAGGTGTTCTCGGACAAGGGCAACTACAGTTGGAGGATCAAGGGTAAGCACTCCATCTATGTTTGCGGAGCTTGCTAGCTTATCTCTGCTCTTTCATTTCCCTTGACTCCTGCATGTCCTGGGCAGAAGATCCACTGCAAGAGTCTGATTTTGCTGTTTGGATTATCTTAAACCAATCTGCATAGAAGCTGCCGGTCAGGATCTTATTCAGAGTACTCATTGAGTCTGTAACAAAGGTAGCCTGCTGGTTTCCATTAGTGCGAAGCCATTTCAGAACCTCAGTGATGGCCTTGATCTCCTCGGACATGCTTGATGTAGTGAGGCCCGTTGCCCCAAATGGCTCTTGGATTGTTACTCCTTGGCAAGAAGCCGTGTAAACCCAGCCTGATTTGATCCCACGCTGAACAGAACTATCAGTGAAGATGATGGTTTCATCCTCTCTACAGTTCTCTTCAATTAGCTTCTGGATTCAGCAGGTGTTTCTCCCTCAGGCCATTCAGGACATTCACCCCGCAATGTAGCAATCACCTGAGTGAATCAGTCTTTCACCTCGTCCGCAAGCGGTACCAGTGTCTCCCCTCGTCTGATTACCTCCACAGTGGGACCACTCTTCAATGGTTTGCACTGTCTGGGCCATCCACTCTTTGCCCTGTTTGAGTCTTGGGTTAGTCTGACAACCTACTTTGTCATGAAGATGATGCTGTGGATCTGCGCAGACTTTCAGATAAGCTTTGACCTGTGCTAGCTTGTGTCTTCCGTCCATGCCGGGTAGGCCTGGCACATATCGCATTGCAGCGGCTGATGTATCTTTTATGTAACCGGGTATGGCTCTCATTCCTTCGTTCTGTTACAAGAGAGTAACAAACATAAAAAAGAAGAAGGGGAGATAAGGATGATAGATATTTGATAGGAAAGAAGGAGCAAACCACACCAGAGCACCCGTCAACCACCCACCCACGCACCCCCCCCCACACACACACATGGGATTCTTGTCTTAAGCACACGTTTACTGCATTTTCTGTTGCCACTCGGATTCTTACTTTGGTTGATTAGTATAACTAAACGTAAGTTAACGGGTAGCTAGAGGGGGCTATTGGTATGGGACACTAAAGACAAGAATCCCAAGTGCGTGTGTGTGTGTGTGTGTGTGTGTGTGTGTGTGTGTGTGTGTGTGTTTGTGTGTGTGTGTGTGTGTGTGTGTGTGTGTGTGTGTATGTGTGTGTGTGTGTGTGTGTATGTGTGTGTGTGTGTGTGTGTATGTGTGTGTGTGTGTGTGTGTGTGTGTGTGTGTGTGTGTGTGTGTGTGTGTGTGTGTGTGTGTTTGATAGGAAAGAAGAAGCAAACCTCACCTGAACAACAACCCACAATATTTGCTGAAATACGTTTCTCCTTGTCTTTTGTGTGTTTTAAGCCAAACCCTTTGGGGAGGGCAATCTCTCTACCTTATGTTACGTTCCATTAGATGTTCATAGAGGATTAAAACTCTGCCCATACCTTCCAAAATTTGAATAATAAGGAGGCAAGATGGTAAGTTATTACAAACACTTTCCGCCAGTTAGCACCAAAAACCGGCACAAATTATCATTGTTAATTCCATGAAAATCAGGCGATTTATAAACATTTACACACACACACACACACACACACACACACAATTCTAATGATATTCACACACACACACACACACACACACACACACACACACACACACACACACACACACACACACACACACACACACCCACCCCCCCCACACACACACACATTTTAATTTACATATTTCTGCGTATGAGTAAATAGAAACTTATCGACACAATAACGGCCATAGAGTGGGGATAGTTAAAACAGAAGGGAGAAACACAGAGGGGAAGAATAGAAGTAGGACCTACCAATAGCACCCTCTAGCCACTCGTTAACGTACGTTTAGTTGTACTAATCAACCAAAGTAAGAATACGAGTCGCAACCGAAAAGGCAGTGAACTTGTGCTAACGAGAAAAATCCCACGTGCGTGCGTGTATGAGTTCCTGCGTGCGAGCGTGTCTGTATGTGTGTGTGTGTGTGTGTGTGTGTGTGTGTGTGTGTGTGTGTGTGTGTGTGTGTGTGTGTGTGTGTGTGTATGTGTGTGTGAATATCATTAGTATGTGTGTTTTGCTGTTTGCATGTGTATGTGAGAATAATTGTGTGTATTTGTAGCTGCAGTTGCTTGCGCGTGTCTGAATAATGAGCGCTTTTCCCACCCCTGCGGCCACAGCGCAGAATGTCTCTGACGTCACCACTGGACATCTGCTTCGCGGAGCAGGTGCTTCAGAGCCAGGACTCGGCCGTCGACTCGATTATAGACGAGTACAGAGCCCACGTTTTTCTCTCTCTCGACCACACCCACCGTCTGCTTGTCGCCGCCCTGTCGAACGGAAGTCTGTGCATTTGGGACATAAAGGATGAGGAAGACATAAAGAAAACGTTTGTATTTCCAGACGCCAACCCACCACACACTCACTTCCTCAATTACTACTCTCCGGAAACTCGTGCTTCGGTTGAAGCTATTTTTGTCTAGAATGAAAAGAAAGAGAAGCAAGTACATCGACTTTATATTAAAAGCTTAGGATAGTCCTAACGAAACAACAAATGCTCATCTAAAATCAACACCTGATAAATCAGTGAAACATTTATTGACTTGCATTTCGTAATTATATATGAATCTTAAGTTTCTGATCAAACACTGACAATGACTTTTTGACAAAACTGAAACATTTCGTTTAATTTGCACACGCATCTGTATTTAACAATCTGCATAAAATGCTCTCTAAAACAGGGATACTGCTTTGCACTAGATGTTAGGGGATGTTTGGGGTTGATTCTACATGTACCTATTTTTTGCAGTTCTGTTTTTTTATCTTCGGGTTTCCCTCGGCTTAGCATAGCCTTACAATGCGTGTTTCTCTCTTCACCAAACAAGCATACAAAACGCCACTCAGTCAATTTATCAACCAACCAACCAACCAACCAACCAACCAACCAACCAACCAACCAACCAACCAACCAACCAACCAACCAACCAATCAACCAACCAATGAACCAACCAACCAAAAAACCTACCAACCAGTCATACCAACCAACCAAACTAACCAAATATCGTGATCAGATGTGAGACCAATTAAAATCTTATTATTTTGATGATCTAATAATAATTTGTCTTACACCACCTACCCCCCCCCCCCCACCTCCACCCGTCCCCCCTCACGTCACCACCCTACCCAGCCACTATTCTGTGAGTCACAGCAAAGCTATCTCCGGGCTGGACGTGATGTCTGTCGTCAACACCAACCCGGCCTGGCCCTCCTCCCCCTGGGACAGCGAGACGGTGGTGACGGTTTCCCACGACTCCACCGTGCGCCTGTGGCAACTGTCCATGCAGCGCAGCATCTGCTGCGAGAGCAGCAAGACCATCTACACGTGCTTTGAGAAACCACCGCCAGCTCGACCCTCCGAAGACCCTGCTGTTGCTACTGCCACTGTCACCCCTGCGAAGGAAGATGCCAGGCAAGAATCGAGAATGATCACCGCGGCGAAGGTGTGAAGTTGTTTTGTTTGAGCTGCATCGTCACTTATCCGGTTCTCTTTCGATTTAGGTAGGAATCGAGGATCTCATAGTTGCGACGGTGTGGAGTCGTTTTGTTGGAGCTGCATACTTACTTGTCTGGTTCTCTTTCGAATTAGGTTGGAATTGAGAATCTTACAGTAGCAAAAGTGTGGAGTCGCTCCGTTTGAGCAGCATACCTACTTATCCGGTTCTTGTTTGATTAAGGGAGTAATCAAGAATCTCATAGCAGTGAAGGCATGGAGTCGGTTTGTTTGAGCAGCATACTTATCTATCCGGTTCTCCTTTGATTTAGGGAGTACTCGAGAATCGTTACAACAGCGAACTGTGGAATAGTTATATTTAAAGCAGCGAAGTTACTCATCCGACTGGTTTAGGTGGGAATCAAGAACGATCACAATAGCGTAGGAGGGAATTGATTTATTTCTTTTTAAAGCAATACAATCGCTTATCTGGTGTTTTCGCGGTTTTGCTGAAACAGCGTTACAATTGCGAGATATGTTTTGGATTGATTTTCTTTTTTTGTTGTTGTATTGAAACCAACTGAACGGCACCTGATTCCACAGTTCAGTTGTTTTTGTTTTTGGGTCATTCAAACACTGTACAGAGTAAACTGCCGAATAGCTACATTCAGTTTGTGAACAAAATTGGGAGATTTGTTCATCCTCAACGACAGGCTTGCTGGTACAGCAAAAGTTTACGGAGTTAACTTTAGGTCTGTCCAACCCTCCCTAGCTCCCCTCACAAAAAGCCCCACAGCTCCCCACACACACACTTATAGAAACAAACCCATTTTTGATGCTGGCTAGTTTTATTTCACAATGTTATACTCCCCGAGCGCAGTTTGTGCTGAAACAGGCTGTGAAGCGGAGAATTCTAGTTGGAATCGCTCCTTCAAGTATTCTTGACGTTGCTTATTTTGGAGTGTTATCATGGCTCTCCAACCACTTGGCTCCATCTTAGATGACTTTACAGGAGGACAGAGGAATAGCGAGAGGTTTTACCTCAACTGTTCACCATGGGAATAACAAGCAGCTCCATGATTATTTAAGGTAATCGATAGACATTCTTTTTAAAACGCTTTCTGTGTTCAACGGATTTGAGACTGTCATCACGGGTCACATTAGAAACGTGAGAGTTTTTAGATAATGGTAAGATTTTGTAAAAACCTCGTTAGAAATCGATGACGGCACGGAAACAGGTTTATTTACAGGTTGGGTGGTAGATTTGATTTTACTTTGTTAAGAAACATCTTTGATGCATGGAATGTTCCGGAAACAAATAGGGGCAAGCATTGGTTGCCATGCTTACAGTCCCCCTCTGCCTCGAGTAGCGCCGAAGTTTGATACTTCGACAATCAAAACAGACTCGCTTTTCCAATGCTGGGTATTGCACAAGCTCGCTATTCCAATGTTGGGTATTACACAAACTCGCAATTCCAATGCTCTGTCAACCTTACAGAGTTGAACGGAGCTAAACCTGTGCCATACGTCCTAACGTCCTTCCCAGGTGAGTCCAGAAAACGACCTGATCACCACGGGCGACAACCACGGACTGATCGCGGTATATGACGCCCAAACTCTGGTCAATGTGGAGATCCTGCAGCGACACACGCGCATGGTGACCACGCTCTGCTTCTTCTCCCACAAAGACTCACGGCTCAGGGTACTTCTGCTCACGTATTCTTTGTCCGGCCTGTTCGTTGTTTGTCTGTCCGTTTGCTGACGTACTGTTTTCAGCCATCTTCAAAGTACAGATCTCCATGCGGTGTGCCTGTATAGAGGAATGACATCATACACTATTTAACACAAAAAGGGGCATTTTCCGCAGTTTAAAATAGTCTCTCAAAAACCTATGAGGCACGTTCATATGTTTTTAAAAAAATTTGATTTGTTCTATTGTTTCGTATTGTTTTGTTTAGTGCTGTTTTGTGCTGTTTTTTTGTTTTTTTATATTTTGTTTGGCGCTTCCACAGGTTTGTCACTTTACCCAAACGTGATTTCGAAGGCGGAACTATTCAAATTATAGAATATGTTTTTCTCCTGCATCAACATAATCCTGGACTCCTCTGCAAACGTAAAGGTTATTTCGAGACCAGGACAATATGGACACATCTCGTGGTTTGTTGCGATGACGTCAATGTTCAATTAGCAGTAATAAACTTGAGGCCATATATTTTTTGTAGGCCTCGAACCAAAAATGGAAAGTCCAGATTTATGATTAGATAAGACAAGAAATTATTGATCTTCGCAAAGAGACTTTTGTTGTAGCATGGTGAATGCATACATGCACACCCACTCGTCAACACACATGCACACACACACACACACACACACACACACACACACACACACACACACACACACACACACACACACACACACAAACATAATCTCTCTCTCTCTCTCTCTCTCTTTCTCTCTCACTCTCTCTCTCTCTCTCACACACACACACACACACACACACACACACACACACACACACACACACACACACACACACACAGACATACACACACACATTATACATACACGGACGCACTCACCTAGAATCGTGGCAGTGACTGAATTTCTAGTAATTATGACGTTAGGAATGAATTGTTATACTTGTAGGTTTTTGCTGTTCTGAAAGGATAAATCGGAGCAAACCAAGAATCCTTTTCTGGGCATATATTATTTTGCTGTTGATGTCTTCATTTTGTCAGTGTTTTCCGTTGGCTAAAAACCCCCCCATACATTCAAAATAACCGTAACGTTTTTTTTCTCGGTAAATATGAAATGTTCCACTATTTTATGGCTATGACAACTCACTAACGCTATATGCACTTGTCCCAACATTGTTCTCACGTTATCGATCCAAATGCTGATCGATGGCAACGCATTTTTGAGCTCCGCTTTCACAAAGGAAGCCGATTTGAAGATATTGCCTTTATTTGTTCTTAATCTGCACGAACAGGAAACCTTAAGCCCCTCTTATTCTCGTGAGAATAGCAATTTATTTTGTCGGTATGGGATTCTGAGAGCAATACACCACTTTTTTGTCGTTCTCAATCGTCTCTCTTGAAGCCGATTCACGTGGTCTCCGACCCTCCCTCCCCCCCCCCCCGGTTTTTTCATCCAACCCCATGACCCCGCTTTTCATTGCAGCTCATGATCAGCAGCGGCAAAGATCGATTGATCAACATTTTCAACGTGGACAGCAAGTTCGGCTTGCTGAGCACTCTACTGCTTCACTCCAGTTCTGTGACGTCTCTCGGTCTGTGCTACACTCCAGAGAAATTGATTCTCGTGTCTGCAGGCCTGGACAGGTCAGTTTGCAGTACAGATCTTTTTGTTACTTAGTTTTAGTTTCAGTAAGGTTTTACAGCACTCGCAACTGCATAAGGCAGGTCATGTGAGCGCCAAGAGGTGGATGTCAATAGAGAAATCCAAACGGGGAATCAGGCTTACTCTGCTCACCTCTCTAGCCTCAACTGCTCAAAATCTGCTTCGATTATCAAGACACCCGGGAAATAGCAGTTCACAAGAGAGTGACAAACATACAAAAGAAGTAGAGGAAAAATGACGATAGTAAGGAAGGGGAAAGAAAAAGCAGCAGTTAGTAACAATTGTTCCTGATCTTCTGTCGCTGCAGCAAATTTAGAATCTATCTCATCCTTCGCATATGGTCATACTTCTATTAAAAAAATAAACTGATTGGTTTTTTCTTGATTGGCCAATATACACCTACATATACGAAAGCACACAGCCACTACAGAGACACCTATCTATTTGTGTGTGTGTATGTGTGTGTGTGTGTGTGTGTGTGTGTGTGTGTGTGTGTGTGTGTGTGTGTGTGCATGTTTTTGGGTGGTTTGATCTAATTCTGTCTATTCGAAGTGAGGTGCGCGTTGCGAAATCTTATTACCATTGTCTACCTTTTATGTGAAGAAAATAATGTAGGCCTTTATCTTAGAGACCCGTGCGAATACCCAACTACTCCAATTTATACACACGTATTGTTAAATAGAGACGCAAATAACTTGATATCTCATAAAAAGGATACATAATTAAAATAGAATCAAGCTTAGTAAGAAACTTTCTTTCAAGCAAATATTCTACCTTTTTATGCCTGGGCATAGAAGAGTTCTCGCTCTCGATTACTCTTGGATCTCTTTCCCCTCAACACTGCCTACCTCTTTTCTAGATCTGTGGTGTTGTGTCGCAGTCCATGGCGCCGAGTCCCCGAGTTCAAGCCCTACACCTGTCATCACACTTCCAGTTCCGTAGTTGATCTGGTCATCAGCCAAGAGGACTATCACCTGACCGTAGGCAGACTCAACGGGGAAGTCAGCATCTTTGATGTGCTCAGCCAAAGACACGTACAGAGGTGTGCACCCATCACGATCTGACACGAATAGAATAGTTCATTTTTTTGTATGAGTTTAGCGCTCTTCTGGACACTGTTACTTTTTTTTGGAAGTATAGCCAAACACCAGGGTATCAGGGGTCTGTTCATTTGCAAGTCCGTGCCCTTGTTCCACAACTCCATGGGAAAGAGGGATGGGCAGACCACACAGTAGATACCGACAACAGATGCCAAGCACATATCAGAAAGGTCATGATGTATGAGTGAAAACCTGTCATCTTTGAAGTTGTGCCCTGTTTGTGGAAAAGCGAACTGTCTAAATCTCCCAATTCGCTAGCGTTTCTGTTCATTTAAAAAATTGCATATGGCTCAGTGGTAAAAAACAAAAAGGAAGGAATGAAGGAAAGACAGAACGGAAAATAGAAAGTAAACACGATGTCGAAAAAAGCTCCCCAGAGCATAGATTAAAAACAACAATATGCATTTTACACCATTAGAGGAGTTTCACTTTTTGGCAAACCACAAAGGATTTTGAATGTCCTAATCCTCTATAATATTTGAGGGGAGGGCTAGTGATCTTCAAGAGTCATAGTGTCTTTGCAACTCTCGACATCTCAAATGCTCTAAAACGACCAAATTATAATTTTCAGAAATACTTCAACAGTTACCAATAATTCCCCTCGGTTTTTCTACCCCCCCCCCCACAGATTCCACGCTTCTCTTGACGAAAAGGCCCATTTGGAGAAATTGTTTTTAAACAAAAGCAGGACTCTTCTACTTTGTGCTTGTACCAATCGCACCATCAACATCTTGAGCTACCCGCGCGGCATTCTGCTCACTTCAGTGTGCAGCCCTTCAAAAGGCGTGAGCGGGCTTCGCTTCTCCACCAACATGAGGTACATCGTGTCCTCCACAGGGGACGGCTGTGTCTTTGTGTGGGCTGTGCCGCTCAAGGTGATCACCGCAGGAGCACTACTGAAGAGACTGTGGAACAATACCCGGTCCAAGACCTCACCCATCCTCTCCATGCCGGGCAGGGCAATGACGTACAGTACACTTTCTCGGACGATAAATGGAAAGGATCTTGTGCTTGAGAATACCAAAGAGATAAAAGCGAGATCTACTACAGAAATAGTGAATCTGGGAGAGGCAGTCCCCGTAGAGGAAGAGCAGGAAAAAGTATTACAGAATAATTGCGCTGATGTAATAAAAGAAATGCAACACAACACCGGAAATAAGATCATTCAACCGACAGGAGTTGACGAAGTGCATGCAACAGGGGAACCGTTACAATTTCCGATTACAAGTTACACCAAGGAAGGCCCAGGCTTGAAAGGCGAGGAGGGTACTTGTTTCATTTCCGGTCATCTTGGTCTGTTCTCTGATGATGGTCTCGAGTCGTTCGCTGACAATGAAGAGTTTCCTGACAGCGAAGGAACGGTGTACGGCAGTCAAAGCGAAGGGAAGGAGAAGGAACCTGGTGAGTCGGAACACAAAAGCTTGCCAACACTTGAAAGCTCCCGCGAAGATATCATACCAGGTAGAGTAGTTCACGAGAACACCCCGACTCTCGAAAGTTTCCAAGAAGATATTGTAATGGGTGGGCTTGCACCTGAAAATATGCCATGCAAGGACTTTGGAGAATCGGATGAGGACTCTGTACAGGTCAAGGGGAATGCAATGTATGAAGGTCCTTCCTCAGTTTTTGAAAACACACATTTCATAGCCCATGCGGGATCTGACGGGATGGAGAAACTATCGGGATTTCCATCATGGCATGAGTATGTAATGAGTATGGAGGTATGTAGTCCTGATGAAATAGTGGCTCTTCAGGATCAAGTTAATCTTATTTCCGAGAAGCACAGTTCATCAACACTAGCAGATTTAGAAGACTGTCAAATCCAAGAAGCAGAATTTGCTTTAGAAGACCACACCTCTTCCTCTCCCCAGCCACACTTACCGAGGTTGGAGCCCTCGAACGATAAAACTACTCCAAAGACAGGTAGTGATATAACAAATATGGATACGTCTCAATTCTCCTCACATGACGACTTACAAGGCATTAGCTCGAATCAGGTCGCTGAAAATCCGAGGACCGATGCTTTTGTACAAGTAGATTTAGCATCTTCAACACAACAACACACAGACTCATCCTGTAGCGAGGTGTTGCCTTCTGATCCCAAGATTGAGCACAGCGCAGAAACACAGTCTCACGATGACCCAGAGCATAAAAACTGCACTAAAGAGGAAAGTACTAAATATTCTGACACTGTGTCCTCACATAAGATATCGTTTGAAGGAGAAAAACTTGAAACATACTACGACGTGGTATTAGTTAACAGTACGCTCTCCGACGAAGAATTAATGACGTCACAGGGGCCGCATACGCAGGCGCTAGAGTGTCCCAAAGAAGACACAATAAGAGGGATGGTAGCCTTTGAGGATTCTGAGGTTGCACCACAAGTGACTCCTGAAGAAAAAATGAATATAGAACCTACGGTCACAGAGGATAATTCGCAGACCTCAGAAGAATCAGAAAATGACCATCCGAATGAACACTGTTCAACACAAGAAGAATGTAGAGAAACTAATTCACAGGCAGAGAAATCAGGTTCACTGTTTGCTTTTACTAGCCAGGAGACTACTTGGTCTACCGAGAGCAAATTTGATGGTGATGATGAAGAATCCCAAGGTGTGAAGTCCGAACCTTGTGTGAATCAAGCATCAGAAGGCTACGCTAGTTCAAAGGTACAAGGCGGCCAGTACCGCTCTACCGAATCTATCACCGGGAATGAATTTGGAAACACAGAGTCTCTAAGTTTCGAAAATCCCGAAGAAAATAATGGTAGTTTGGCTGACCTTCCTGAAACTAATGTTGGGGCAACGCAGCCTCGCTCGAGGGATGTACATTTAGTTGAATTTCAGGTAAACGGAGATCAATGTGTAGTCCAGGAAGTTTCGTTAGATGAATCAGGAAAATATGGATTGGATATATCAACAAAGAAAACAAATCGAGAGAGAATACGATGTCATCTAAAAGACTGCGTAACACCGAGAGAGACTGATTACAGGCCTTTAAAAACGATTGTTTCGCTTTCAAAAAATGGTAGAAACAACTTTCCTCTACTCACGGATGACGTATCCTTAACCAAGATCAGTGGACACAGTGGTGCAAACAACGAATCCAAGGTGAAAGAACATAACTCGCCTTTTTCAGGGGACACAGACGGTACCTTCCAACCTATGAAGGGAGACAATCCTGCCATTATTCAGTGGGAACAGCAGTCAGTCGGGCAGGAGCTGCAACTGAATGAAGCTGCAGGGGATGCCACCCAGGGTGCTGAAACCTTTACAAAATGCCCGTGACACTGTCTATCAAAAGGTTTATTCAATGTCCTGCTTCCTTGAAAATCGCCCCTCCCACCCTCTCCTCCCACGCAAAATCAAGACGCCCGTGCCCCCCTCCTTTTTTTCAAAGGTAAAAAAAGACAACGCATGGCAAACAAATACATTGGTGTATTATCGAAGAAGTATTAACGTGCCACAAGTGCATTTACTTTATTTGAATTTAACGTAATACAGTGATTGGTAGGACAAGTAGTAAGTGACTTGAATCTGACTCCTTGTTTTGGGCTTTACTGATTGACATGAGTAGATTGGATTCTGAAATTAAAAAAACAATCTTTTGCCACTTTATTGATGCCTCGAACCCTTTCATGGCTGAGGTTCTGCTTGATTTTTGCCTTCTTTGAGTTGAAGCAGTACTGTCTGGATGCTTAAATCAAACATCTATCTCTCTCTATCTCTCTCTCTCTCTCTCTCTCTCTCTCTCTCTCTCTATCTATCTATCTATCTATCTATCTATCTATCTATCTATCTATCTATCTATCTATCTATCTATCTATCTATCTATCTGTCTGTCTGCCTGTCTGTCTGTCTGTCTGTCTGTCTGTCTGTCTGTCTGTCTGTCTGTCTGTCGGTCTGTCTGTCTGTCTGTCTGTCTGTCTGTCTGTCCTGTCTTCATGTCTAAAATATTTTTCTGCCACTCAAAATAGGGGGCTGGGGTTGGTGGTTGTATTTTTATGGTCAGAGGCCGGAAAGGGGCGTAAGGTTGCGGGAAAAGGGGTGGGGTAGGGGAGTATTGAGATTTGAAATTAAGGATACTTTAAAGACAGGTTTATTACTTCTTTCATGCATTATGAACGGTAGGATATTCTTCCAACGCGACTGCTGTTGTGAGCATCTTGGTTTGTTTACGACAGGGACTAAGGCACCCCCGAGTATCTAAAGCAGCTCGCAACAGCTTTTTACCATCAAAATGATCTAGCAAAAAGAGAGAGAGAGATATAGATAGATAGACATATAGATAGAGAAATAGATAGATAGATAGATAGATAGATAGATAGATAGATAGATAGATAGAGAGAGAGAGTGAGAGAGAGGGAGAGAGAGAGAGAGAGAGAGAGAGAGAGAGAGAGAGAGAGAGAGAGAGAGAGAGAGAGAGAGAGAGAGAGAGTATGTTGGCAAGGTGGGGGGGGGGGGGGTATGTAGTTTAACCTCTGAAATCTGAAAGAACAAAAGTAGTAGTCTACGACAAGCACTTTAGTATTAACAATCTTCGGGCTTGGAGCGGTACGGAAACGAATTCAATTTGCGGAGAAGTTTTGAGAACTCAGACATTGAATCTTGGGACATCGACTAGCTTGTACTCGCGCAATGGTTAACACATACATGTTGGTGAAAACAGGGTGCACGTACCTCTCGGACGAAATGAACTTCGCCCTCCAATCTAACCGGAAAGTGTTTTTGCGTGTTACTCATCTCTTTCACCATCTCATCTCAGAAATAGGTGCCGTTAAGGCGATGGCTGCAGCAGATTCCATATCTTTTTTGCTGAAGATAAGACTTTGGAATTGCTCTTTTTATGTGCAACTTAGTATTTTTTATCTGTCTGTTACGGTAGAGACCATAGGGATATTCTGTTGTACTCTGCAGGTAAGAGTCTTCTCTTCAGTAATTATTACATTTCTCAGCTGCATAAGCTCAGCAATAAAAGGATATTAATTATCCGCCTTTACACAGACAAGACATGCAATTCTCTTTACAGATTTAATTTATGTTCTACAACCCCTTTGGTGAGATGGTGGCACATTTTCTTTATATTTTTATGACGCTAGTCCAGTTCTTGTTCCCGCCAATCTGTCGACTGCTGTCTAAGCAATACCCCAGTATCTCATAATGATACCCGAGTTATTGACACAACCTAATGTTATTGTAATCTACTATTACTAAGGCATCAAACAAATACGAAACAGTCAAAACAATAATACGTCAGTAAGGGCCCTCATCTCTCAAATTATTTGAGCAAAAAGACAACACACACACAAAACTTTCAAACACATTCGTGCGTGCGCGCGCACCCCCCCCCCCACCCCACCCCCCACACACACACATACACACACATACAACACACACAAACAAACCGATTGAAAGATTAAAGCAAAGCGAAAACCCTTGTCATCCTGTCAGAAGACAACAGAACACATCCACTAAACAAAACGAGGAAAACAATAAGAGTATTTTTCCACAATTAGCGTGCATGTCAGTTCAGTTTGCCCGTAACGGCGTGCCCATGCTAGACACAATACTCGCAGTAATTTCGATGTGGAGTCAGGAGTCCCCACTTCACTTCCACTCTTTTGCAATCGATTTCGCGCTACTTCCCGGTAATGTGAACGCCATGTCAAGTTCCGGCGGGGTCAGGTGATGCTCTCATGTACTACGCCTAATCGGAGAATGCAAAGTTGGGGTGGGAGCACAGATAACTTAGTGTTTAGCTGGACTATGGCCTGGAAACGAATCTGCGTTTTTGAACTTCTGATGTTTGGATAGTTTTCAAGGCTCCCGCCCGCTTGGTTCTGCTAGTTCGAAAAGGGGTTGAATTCGGCAAACCTGTCTCTCCACTTAGATAATATTATCCTGACATTTACAGTGTTTGCGCCAAACCATTACAATGGTACTGTAGTAGAGTGGACCGCTCTCCTCCTTCGAATTGGCCTGTAGAGTCAATCTACACAAAAACATGACTGTTCTATTGCTATTTGTGTGGTTCTACAGAAAGTTCCCAACGTTGAGTTCAATGCCCTCCGCATTATCCGCAGACTTCGAGGTTCTACGCTTTCCCGTCAAACTGCGCGCAAAAGTTCAGTAATCTGGACACATGAGTATATTTTCGCAAAAAAAAACTTTTTTCTAGGTGGTTCCATTTCTCTTCTACTTATCTCTGTTCTTATTCTCCAACGACTCCTTTTTCAACCCGGGGCCGTGGTGGAATTGTTAGGCTTTTCCTGTTGCACTCAGAAGAAGTTCGATCGACATCAAGAGAGCAAATTATTTAATCGGTTTTTCCGTCTGTCTGTGGGACACTGCATTAGGTGGGTCCTATCAGACAGGGTCGAAGAAGCCTTTCTAATAAACGATCTAAACTCTATCGATGGAGGTGTAAAATACATTTAAAATGATACCTTTTCCACCCAAGGAATAGCCAATCTATGACGATGTGATTTTTCCTTACTCAAGTAAGCATGGTTTGTCGTCCCCAACGAAACCCACTTTTGAAATGAACAATGCGGCACATTGTTATGGAATGTTATAATTACTACCACCAAAAGTAGAAATAAAATAAAATAAAAGTCTTACCACTTTAACCACATATTGAATTCATTTTAGGTTTTAACTCTTTATTTCTTAAACACAGTAGCATTGATACTTGATATTTCTTTTCTACTCTTCAAAATGAACCGAAAAGACAACTGTTCTGTATAATTAACCACGGACATGGCCAAAAGTCGGTTTTGAGGAACGTTTTTGTGTCCCTTGGTGATTATGGACTTTTGCTCGGAAAGTAGAGAGAATCTGTGCTATAGACGAGCCAGTTGAAAAACTTCAGTCAAAGGTCGATCCACCCACACGAACCCAGCAGCCAGTTCACACAGGCGGCCGGCCTCTTACGTTAAGGGGTGTCTCTGTGTTGAGCCATCAAGTAGCCAACTTAATATGGAAAGTAACGGCCCCAGAGGCTGCTGGGAGTACTCACCTCTCGAAGGATGGCGACGGAATTAAGCAGCTTAATTGAGCTTACAATTCCTCAAGGAGGCTAACTCGTTCTGGGGACAAGGCGTAGGAAGTTAGGTCACGATCACACCCCAGCCCCACGTCGTGTCCAGTCGTATTGGGTCGTGAGGTTCGAACGTGGGCTGCAGTTGAGCAAACGGAGTACAGACTCGGTCATTGATAATTTCAGCGCCAGAGCCACAGCTTAGCGGAACTTAACATGAAAAGACTGGCGTCCTGTGGGTGATTGGACATGACACTGTTTTTGCTAGGTTCTACTTAATATACAGTTCCTCTATTGTTTGTTTCAAACTGGTTTGCTGTAGTCCTATTAATAAAATGCCGTTATCTTGCCAAAGACCTTCTCTTTAAGACGGGGAAAATCAAAGAACTGCGCCATGTAGTCTGCAGCGCAATGTTTTACTTTGAATTTGATTTTTTTTAGGAATGCACATTGCATGTTGTTTTCCACATGCGATTCATCATAGTTATAATGAAAGCGCTGCCTTAATTGATGAACATTTTTGCAAACATTTTAGGAGGGAATGTTACAGGGTAGTGACTGCTTAATAGAAAGGTATTTTCAGGCCTTAAAACTATTAAAAATGGTATTTCCATTACTACTATTACTGTTGCATATAATGTGATTTGTCAGACCATTAAATGGCAATTCGGTGGTGACTATTAGTATTACTATTGCATTTAGTCTAATGTGATTTTATTTTGTAAAGCGTCATTCTAAGTGTAACGAACTTTGTTTTTCTAAGTTTTAAGTGCCATTTTGAAAACACCACTCTGACAGGCGTCTGTGTACTCAGAAAATGTGTCCTTTAGTCCCGAGTGGGGAGTTCTTCTGACTGTCTGGCTAGGACGTAGTGTCTCTCTCCTCAGCCTGGGTTGACACTGCCATGCAGGGTTGAAGGCAGCCCATTTCTTAGAAGAACCGAATGTCGATGGGGCGTAGAGCATTTACGAAGACAATAACACATCGCTCTTAGTCTTAGACGCCATTCTTAGTCTTACTCCTCCTACTAGTACTAGATGTTGCCACCGTGACGTGAAAGGGTGGGCGTACCAACACATTCCCATGAGAGATCAATCAGTCTCTGATTCACACCTCGCTAGCTGTAACTCGCCCAAGACCGAGACTAAACACCCAGATTTATAACAGAACGAGTGGGGAAAGTTCACCAGATCTGATTGTAAATTTATAACGATGACAGCTGCCCTAGTCCCGGTGGCAGCTTAAGAAAATGCTTTCTTTAACTTGGCCGTAGGCCGTGGCATTCAAAATAGGGCGCGCCCCTGGCTATAGTGCGAAGACACTTTGACAAGAGCGCTGTCTAATCAGCTTGAAAGGGTTTGTCAGGCCTTTATGTTTGCTGGAATAAATGATATTGGCCAAATGCACATTAAAGTGGCGATGCAACGGCAAGGAGTCTTTTTTTTGGAAGTATAAAAGTAAAAGAATTGCCTAAAAGTAGTAAACTGAACACTCTTGTACGGTGCGCTCTTCACAAGTGATCGGCATTTGTCCAGTCAGTTACCGAAAATAAACACGTCGCGGAATTTG